TGGAAATTTCATTGCAGGAGTGGTTTCAGATTTCAACAGCTGCATTTTTTTTACCTTATTTTTTGCAAATGGATGTCACTGACAACTTAGCATGCCACAGGCATGTTATCCTGAACTAGTCTCTGTTTTCCCAAGATGGGTGCATTTAATAATAGCTTGAATTATTGAGAAACTTAAATACTTTAAACAAGTTGTAATATCTAAAATCCAATTCTTCTTTCTAGGGAAACATTAGCAGAACTGTAAAAATCTGTATGTTTAAATAAATATTGAGCACTTACAGTAACACAGACTGTTATGATTGGCATGCTAGATTGCAAATTGTCTTCTTACTTGGAAAATTATTTTTAGTAATGTTACAACTTTTGAATCAGATCTGAGAGCAGTGAACAATAAACTCCACAGTTCTGTCTTTTGGCATTGCCTGTAGAAACACTAAAGTCATAGACTTGCAGACTCAAAAGCACCAGCTCCCTGGATTTCATGGAGCTGGTGAAATTGGGAGAGACTGCTTTGGACCTGGAATTCTTGCGCTCTGATGCGTAGCCTCTGGGTCTGCCCCTGTAGGCTGACCAAAATGTGCTTAGAAATACGTGGAAACAACCCATGCTGCGCAAAAATGTTGTGGTGTTTAAAAAAGAAAAAAAAAAACACTAACCCAACCAAACTACAATAAAACCAGTAAATACGACAGTTAAGCTAAGTGTAGCTGAGATTGCAACACATATGTTACGCATATTCAAAACTTGGTAATGTTTTACTTGTACTTTGATATTGCTCTCTTGTGTGTGATAAAAGATAGTGGCTTTCTCCCCCCCCCCCCCCAAGCATTTTATAAGACGTTCTTTCCTGCCTCTTGCAACTGAAATCTACTTCCGTTGTTTCTCTGATGTCTTGAAGGTCTTCCTAAGCTCATTGGTACTCAACTCAGTTCCTTCTGATGTTCAGTTAGTTCTGGTTGGGGTAAACAAAACCACCTCTTCTTCACTAGGTTTTTCACCTTGACGTTTTTCTGAATTCTAGATAATCTGGGCCTACCTATTGCTGAAAAAAAAGCAATTTTGACTGTACCTGCTTCTTGAAGCAGCTGAAATGCTTCTGTAGCCATATGGTGAAATAGAGTAGGGCATGGATTTGTCTGAAAACTAAGTCACCAGAAAAAAATGTTACATTTTAAGTACGTTATTTTTTCAGTATGATTTGCTTGTAGAGGCCGAAGCCAGGAGCTGGAAGGTGTTATGCTGCTTCCAGATCTCAGGGTTTTGTAGGATGGTATCCAAAGCTTGCAGTTGTCAAGGCAGAAGGCTAAATGACACTGCATTTTTGCCTGTTCTTGGCATAAGCAGACAGGATGGGATTTTTAGGTACAGTGTTTGGGTTTATTCCCCAGCTATCTTTAAAAGTCTTTTGGTACGTGTATACAGGCTAAAATTATTTGTTCATATAAATTATCAAAGGTGAAGCTAGTAACATAGTGGCAAGACAAAGGCTGCTCAGTTGCTATTAATAAATTCTGGGCATAAAAGTGACTAAGTAGGAATGTAATATTGAAGATGATGAGAAATTCTCAGTGTTAGAATTGGTTCATAAACAACTAAAATAATTAATGTTTAGTTCTGACTTCATAATTACTGACCTATAGAGGATACATAGCTTTTGTAGAATATGTTTGTGTTTGGTCCTCTAAGGTTGTGGGATTTCAGTTGGTTTTTTTGGTTGGTGGGGTTTTTTTTTTGGTCATTAGTGTTTCTGTTGGTAAATGGAAATAGTACTACATAAAAGCAGTGTTTTTTTCTAAGCAGCATTAGTGGCAGTATTTTGAATTTAGGAAGGATTATTATTTAATCACTTTAAAGTGCTTTGTTGAACTCATTATGCATATGCTCTGCATTACGTACTTGACTCTTTATTTTGCCCTAAGAATGATCCTACTGTATATACGGCGAGGAGAATATACGGAGTTCTTTGGGGCTTTAGTTTCTGTCCCTGAAATACATGTTTAATTATATATGTTAGCTAGAGTCTTTCTGGAAGAAAACATTTTACAGAAGTAAACCTTCTTGTCATAAATTTTGGTGGTTTTGATTCAAAAAGCTTGTTTGAGGATAAGCTAAAGAATGTAGCATGCTAACTAATCAGACCTTTATTTAAAGCCGGGTATGGAATTAGGAAATCTTCCACTTGCCGCCCTTGTTCACTTAATGAGAAGTTCTTCAGTATTACTCTATGTATTTAATAGGTACAGCTCTCCTCAGCTTTATCGTTAAAGACCCTGTGACAGGCTGTAAGATGAAAAATAATTTGCTTTGAAGGCAAACCAGTGGTGATCAGCTGCTCCTTGTACCTTCAGATTACTTGGTTATGTACGGGAAAAATAGCAGCATATTTTGCAGGCAGTTGACCACACTGCAGCTAGATCAAACACAGTAGGAGCTGGAAGCCAAGCAAATGTTTTCAGAAAAGGAAAATAGCAGAATCTCCAAATATCAGTGAAGATTGTTACTGTTTATTTTACAAAGAAACACTCTTAAATTCATTAGAGTTCAGATCAAGAGTTGTAGGCTAGGAATAGTGTTTCCATTGTAAATGTTTTATTCCTCCCCCGGTCGTGTGCTTTTGCAGCAAAGTAATTCAAACAGCAGCCTTTGCTGGAAAACACTTTTTGAACGACAGCCTGGCTATTCCCAGGAAGCTGGACTAATCTGGTAGGTATTTTTACCGGATGAAATGAAGCAGTTTCACCTACATCTAAGGGTTCATAGAATTCGTAAAAAAATATTTTTCTAATTGTTCACTTTAAATTGTTTCAAGGCAAACTTTTTTAGGATAACACAAATCATCTCGTCGGGATCTGGTGGTGTTTTACTCTGGAAAAAAAGATCATTAACTAAGCCACTTTTCCTCCAAAGCAATGACCCTGTGTTTGTACTTTATTCTTGCTTTGGGCTGAGAGCATGTGGGGGGAGTTGTTGCTGTGGCTCAGCTGATGAGATGCTGTATTTTGTTAAGCTGTGATTGTGAGGGGGTGTTGATGGTGTTTTACTGAGAATTACCCAGCTGATTGAACTCCACTGTTCTTTGAGCTTCAGGTGCAGTTTGATGATAAAGCTGGGCCACACTTGAAATTCTGTTCTTCTTTGCCCCATTGCAGAGTTTTCCTCTGTCTCCCTTGCAGTAATCTAAAGCTTGAAGAACGGCTTCGGGGAGCTAAACTTGACTAAAAACTGTTTTTGTTGAAACTCCTTATGATAATTCCTCATTCTGAAAAGAAGTCCTTCTAGCTTAGGCCTGAGAACTCAGCAGAGACATTGATCATCTCGTGTCCTTCCTTTTTACTCCATTCTTGTATTTGTTTATGGCTCTAAACTTACCAATCCTATGACCATCTGCACAGCCCACAGTGTGTACTAGAGGTTGGTAGTGGGATATAGCTGTTCTAAAAGTACAGGAAAATCCTGTCCTTTCAGGTCCTTGCACAGCATGGCATAGTCAGGAGGTGATTGCTGCTGAGCCCAGTGCACCAGGGAGGGGAGAACCTCCTCAGAGGTTGTCCCAGCAAAAGTCAGGCTGTCTGAAATGATTTTCCCCATGTCTACGTTACTCGGATTTTTTGTGTAGCATGGGAACATCTCCGGTGCCAGATAATAGTGAGCTTGGGTGAATAACTGCTTACTGCAAGAATGGTTTGGAGAGCAGGACGTGATGGCAAGGCTGATAATTGTGTGAATATCTGGGGTTTTCAAGCTTTGCTTGTTGCAGTTGAGGCAGCTTAAATCCTGCGCTGATTCCCTGTGAGCTAGTGTTTTCTAAAATAGCTTCCAAGCTCTGCAGCATAACACTTCTTAAGAGAAGGGTATGTGAATCACAACTGATGCTCATATGTGTTAGCCCTGCTTACAGTAGGGTCCAGGGTGCTTGGTAGGACTGAACCATCCTCGTCACTTTTTGCTGTTCCTTTGAATGTTCGGCAGGCTTTGTCAGCAATAACAACTTCTTTCATGATCTCCAAAATTTCCAGCTGTGATACTGAGACTCACCAAGGAGTGATTTGGTTCTGTGTTACATGGAGTGTTTGCAACTACTGCATATAAAGTTTTATGTTGGGAAGTAAGAGCAGTGTAGTTAGAGGGCTGGCAGTTGAAATACCAAGGTAGGAGAAAGGCAGGGGGGTTGTAATGCAGAAGTGACGGAGGGTGCTTGATAGTACATTAAAAGGCATGAACTGAGCCTGGTGGACTGGGGTGGGAGGAAGTACAAGAAAAATGGAAAAGTTGAGCAAGAGTCATGTAATATTAAAAATAGCTGATTATTATTTTTTTTAAATATATATTCCTTCTGCTAAATTGATAGGCTTGCTTGCTTCCTACTTGCAGAAATTGTGGGAAGGGGAGGATGCAACTAGGGAACAAAGATGGCAGTCACTGTTACTACTACTTTATCTTTCTTCTTTTTAGCTGTCATTGTTAGATTTTTAACTCCTGCATTAGTACACATTGCAAATGCATCCTTTTTTTCCTTCCAGCTTCAATTTATAGAGGAAAGAATGAAAGGGGGATGGGTATATGTCAGAAGAAGCAGCAATATTATGCTGCCTGTATCTTTGTTTTATCATTGCTATTACTTTGGCAGCCGCATTTCTGATTTCCAAATGTGACAGTTTCTTCTAATAAAATATTCACATGCTTAATCCAAATACTTCTATTAATTGCATCGCCTCCACAGCAGTTTTCACGGTAAGAGCTGGGTATTTGCAAATTTTTTTTCAAATGCTTGACAGTGCGTGTGTTTTGTGAGTCTCCCATTGTAGACTTAACTGTATGTTTCACATCAAGTTGTGCATACATGGCTTAGGTGTGTGCAGCATGTAAATGATGCAGCATATCCATTAATCAGGAATATAATTAATTTTTGGTGGGGAGGGAGATAAATGACAACTTGCAGTTGATTGCAGTTTGTTGCTAAAATAACTAATAAGCTTTTTTGTTTTATGTAATAGGCTGGGTGGAAGGAAAATCATGCAACGTTTATGAATGAACTGAAAAATCTTCAGGCTTCAGGACTAACAACCCTTGGTCAGGCACTCAGGTCGTCGTTTGACTTGTTAAATCTCAATAGATTAGTGTCTGGAATAGACAACTATGGACAGGTAATAAATCTGTTTATAGTCTTCTGTATTTTGTATTTTTCTGTGTTTTTTGAAATTATAGTGGGGGAGGGATTTTGGGGGTTCAAGTTTTACATTTTACTTTTTTTTTTTTTTTAATGTTGGATAGCTGTGCGTTAAAACTTGAACTGTGAACTTTTTTTTTTCCTTCTTTTTTCTTCCTTATTACATCTACTGCACATACCCTGGAATATACTAGCACTTGTTCCTTCTTGAACTACAAAGAAAGCAGTAGTATAAATGACCCAACTGTAGATACACGTTGCTGTATGGGAGTATGTACACTGGATGGCAGTGAACCTGCTTTGCATTTTTATGTTACCTGTAGTTAACATCCTGACTTCCTCTCTCTCACATGTGAAGAGTCTGGTTCAAAGCACTGTTTTTTGCCCCACTGTTGTAATGAAATTCCGAGTTCTCTGTATTATTGCCAATTTGTATACTGCTTTTGTGGGCTAGAGGGGTTTTGTGCTATTAATGGAGGAAAAAGGCTAGTAATTCTAAAAATCCTTAGAGGTACGTGTGTGAGTGCACAGAGTAGCACCTCTTGCATAGTTCTGTATGGCTCCACACCTATTGAAAGAAAATTACAGGATTATTTGAAAAGATTACTCATCTTGCTGTTTATTTTATAATGACAAGAATGTAAGCCTATAACTGAGTGTTAAGGTTTGTCTAAGCATTCCTATGCTTTTGTCGCTAGGGAAGGAATCCATTCTTTTTGGAGCCATCTATTCTGATTACCATCACAGACGGAAACAAACTGACAAATACGGCTGGAGTTCAAGAGGAGGTAAACTTGCATTAAATTCTTTCAAGTTATGATCTTGCAAGTGGGTGCTATGCTGAGATTAATATTAATTGGTTTTTCCTGCTAATAGTGTTTCTGCTTCATCAACCTGTTTTATAATAGAGAACAGGAACTAGCTATGCTGTCATTCCCCAGCCCCTAAATTCATAGTTCACATGGGTTTCCAGACTGTAACTTCAGGTAAATTAGTGGATAGGAGAGAAATGAGGTCCTTCTACAGAGTAATGGATAAATTTGAGTATTGGTTTGTCAAGTACTTGAAAGTATTCTTAAATCTTTCTTTACCAGCTTCATCTTCCTTTGAATTCTCCTTTGCCTGGAAGTGAACTGACCAAAGAACCATTTCGTTGGGATCAAAGGCTGTTTGCTCTAGTGCTGCGTTTGCTGAATCTGCTATCACACAGATGTGTGAAGTTACAGGAGGTAACTGGATGTTACTTTGCTTTAGTTCACATTTGGTATTTGCTTTAAAGTATTTATTTTCCTTTGATTCAACTTCACCTCTTGCTGTTTTCTCAGTCTGAATTACTCAGTGTCCATGTGAATTGTGTGGTGTTTTTTGAGCTTGGTTTCCAATAGCACAGGAAAACTTCAAAATAAAACCATAGGCCTGTTTCAGATCTTTTAGATGTGAGAGAATTTTCTTAATGCACCAGTAGGAGGGATTGGAAAATTTCTTAAGATTGTCCTTCTAGAGGTTGGCTTTGCTCAATCATGAGATTTGTTACTTAAACGTTGAATTGAGTGGGACAGGTATTACTGAGTTGTTAATTCTGCTGCAGGGCTAACAAGCTAAATTCCAGAATTAATTCTTTTAAGATTGAGCCTGTTCCTTGAGATGTGCATCAGATGTTTTTTGAGTTGGTGCTTGAAAAAAAATGCTGGGTGGGAGGGGAAAGTTTGGGAGTGTGTAGGAGTTCGTAAGGTTTGGGTGGACAAAAGCAGATAGGTTACATCGACTTGCTGAAATCATATGTTCTTAAGGGCATTTATAAACTTGGCCTTGGACCAGCCTGGTTTAGCCATTAGGTCTCTTTTACTAATGAGTAAAAGCTCAGCAGGTTGTTCCCCCCGCCCTGTTGTATTGCATTTGAAAAGTATTTTACCTTTTACGTAAACTTGTACAAAGTTTGTTACTATTATTTTGGATAAAACCAAAAGCCTTGGCAAAGTGACTTATGTAATAAAACATCTTCCTTAATTAAGATTACTCAAAACTTATTTTTGTATTTTCCCTGTGTAACGTGTCTCTTGCATAGGTCGTTCTTACTGCGTTCGGACACAAAGAATGTTGAATCAATGTTTAGAATCTCTAGTTCAAAAAGTCCAAAGCGGAGTTGTTATTAACTTTGAAAAGTCAGGACCAGATCCAGCTCCTATTGGAGAAGGTACAGTGGTTTTTTCCCCCTAATGTTCAAGAAGAAATGTTTTGTATGCCTGCAAATGTCCTTAGGTGTCTTTGGTGTCCTTTCTCCTTAGCTTTTCTCTGTAGCGTACAGGATGCATCGAATGCCTAATGCATTCTAAAAAAGCAATTAAACTATGAAGCTTATATGCTTCAGTAATAGAGCTCTGGTATCTCTCTAAATACCCCAAATCCTAATCGATGTGCTGTTCATAGCTTTTGACTAGTTTTATGTTTGTTTATGTTTAGTCTTGTCTTTGTTATATTTTTACAAGTGTTTGTTTGATCTTTGATAAGTTAAAGGGTGCCCTATGTTTGCACGTGTTTTTATGGACCATCTACCTGCTTGCTAGCTCTCCTGTCACTCTTCTCACCTCTTTTTTGGGGGCTGAGGAAAGTGAACGTTTGCAGGAAGTAGTAAAGTTTCAATTACAGTGTTGTCAAAGCTTGGTTTTTAAATAATTAAATCCAGGAGTAGTGTATTTAAACACTGAATCTCAAAAGTAATCTCAATGCTTAATTTTCTGTATGTTTTCTTCTAATTGATCACAACCCCATAAGTTTCAGTTGAATGTTCTCAGCTGCAAGTGAAAAACTGTGTGCAAAGAACACGGAATTATTTTGCCTGTTGCAAGTAAAGTGCATAACAGGAAAGAGGAAAATATACTCTTAAGATGGAGCAGTTTTTCAGATTTGCAGAAATTCATGGCTGAAAGGAAGGCTAGAGAGCTGAGCAGTTCATGTGTAGGAAATGAGGATGTTCCTGGAATGTCAGAAACATGATAGCTTTTAGGATCCCCTGAGCATCCTAGCATAGCCAGCTTTATTCCTGCTTTCATTTTTGAATCACCTTTTTCTTGCTGTGTATATATATTTTTTTTTCTCCTTTTGCTTATTTAAATGACATTTTATTGGAAGGCTTTCTTAAAATGCTGTGCAGGACAGCACCTCAGCAAATTCCTGTGTCTCTGTTGGCCCAAATATTCTCCTATCTGGCAAAACAGCTGGTGAAATTTTTGGGGGGCTTTTTTGGCTGGTTGGTTGTGGTTTTTTTCCACAGTTAAACGGTGATGCGCTGTAGATACGAATGTACAAAAATACTGAGACTTTTCCTCTTTACGTGAATTGAGAAAGTCCTAAACTAGAGAGAAATTTGATGGGATTTAACAATGCTAGTATAATCACTGTGTATATAATGCAGAGAAACCAAACTGATATCTGTCTGAAAGGTGTTTTGCAGAGTATTATTGGCCAGCTATCTAAAGCAGGGAGAATCAGTAGTGTAAAATACCTTTGCAAGGAAGAAGAGTCTTTGAATGGGTGATCTCTGCTGTGCCGTTTGCTTTGAAGAGCAGTCTTCAAAAACTTATGCTGAGATTCTGTACTGCTACAAACTACTTTGTCCTCAGTGTGAAGGGGAGTCTGTGCTGGTTCACTGTAATGGACTGGCAGAAAATGCTGGTCTTCCCAGTAGAGAGTGGGATTTAAGTGATCTGTTAATTCTTATTAATTAAAAATGTGACAAAAGCTGCTCCTGCAGATGTCTGACTTTTCCATGAAACTCTCCTCCACTTCTGGTTTCCACTAGTGGCAGCATCAGTCGGAGAGCTTTGCATCCCATGTAGAAAGACTGTAAATGCAAATTATCAGTCTTTACAGGTGCAGCAGAACTAAAAACGACAGGCTTGCTGTTGCCTATCGGATCTATGTTTAAGTACAGAGCTTAAGCAAATAGCATTTTTGGTAATATGTGAGTATGCCTTGCTGCACTAATTATCTAATGGCTGTGCCACAGGAGCAGAAGGGTAGATGCGGGCAGATGTTATCATTGTTTCTCAAATGATGCTGTTCTACATGTTGATGTATAACTTTTTCAACCAGTCATATAAATATCTGTATGTCTTTGGAACAATTGTAATGAAACACCTTATTGGTTGCTAATACAGAAATTTTGCTGGGGACCAAATGCACGCATATAGCTTTTTATTTTCTTTTTTGTTGTTATTTTGCTTTGTTTAAATTTTAGATGGACTTGTTGATTCATCCAGGCCCATCAATTCATTTGCTTCCCAACTGTGGCATAGTTGTCATAAACTCATTTATGTACGGCCTAACCCTAAAACTGGTGTTCCTGTTGGGCATTGGCCAATCCCAGAATCTTTTTGGCCTGATCAGAATTCACCAACACTGGTAAGTAAAATAAGAGCTGAAAAAATAATTCTACACCTAATGAAACAGACTGAAAATTAATAATAAAGTAGGTTTTTTTACTTTCTCTATTTACTAATATGATCTGATTTCGCTTTAGTAGTTAAAACTATTGACACAGAATGGTATAATCTAATGTAGATATGTATGCTGTGATGGTTTTTGCATCTGGAAGGTTTCCTTCCATGTTTATGGTTAGTTAATTGGGTAAATGGTTTTTAAAAGATCATAAATTTTAACTCTAAATTACTTCACATACTACAAATCATAGTGAACCTATTAAATTTTAATGAAAGCTTTATAAAACACATTTATATGGAAAAGGGAGTATTTGGTTTTGACAGAAGATCAACGGTGTTTTCTCTGCTTCGTACTACTTCATGTGTGGACTCTTGTTTCATTAGCAGGAATAATTAAAACTGAGACAAAAGAGTTTACCCCATTCAGAAAATGAGAGAAAACCAGCATTCATTTTTCCTTTTCTTGCTGAAATGATCATACATTTGGCATCTCTTACTAGCCTTTCTAAACATCTCTCTCTTGTTAGGCGTGCTCTGTTTCTGTACTTTGCAAGTGCTTAAGGTACTGTTCCCCCTCCCCACCCCATGATTCAAGAGGAAGAAAGTCAGACTCGGCAGGGAATATCTTAAAATACCCTTTGTGAAGTGAGCACAGTTTCACATCTGTAATTCTGTGAACAGCAAGCTGGGAAGCAGAATTGAAGTTTTTTTTTCTTTAAACCTGTCTGTGATCCTATAAGTTGATTGGCATGGAGGCTTTTAAATATCAAGATAAATAATTGAATATAGCCATGTTTTTCTCGTGGTGGGAAGAATGTATGTACGTGTGTATGTGGCTTTTTTTTTAAAGTTAGAGAATTAATTACTTAATCTATATCCTATTGTGGGATCTTATATCTTTATTTTAAAGGAAATTGTAGAAACGGAAAGTTTAAGCCTATAGGATGGTAAAATACATGCATATGAATCTTTAAGAAAATTGATTTGTTTACCATAAATACTAGACAATTGATATGTGTGTTTTCTCCTTCCTTTTAGCCTCCACGCACAGCTCACCCTGTTGTGAGGTTCTCCTGTGTTGATTGTGAGCCAATGGTAATAGACAAGCTTCCTTTTGACAAGTATGAACTTGAGCCTTCACCCTTAACACAGTACATCTTGGAACGAAAGTCTCCCCATACCTGCTGGCAGGTATTTGCCCTTTATTTGATTCTCGGAATGTAGTGGGCATCCTAACGTACTTCAGTCTTTGTAAGACTGGAGAATTGGGGTTGCAGACTCTGCAGTTGATGAGAAGAAACATGTCAAGGTTTCAGTTACCTCCTTTCTAATAGAATTATCAGGAGTCAGAATGAGTGTTCCCTGTACAGGCTTTGTAATCTCATTTATTCTGTTTCTAGGTCCATCTCATTTTGCAAAGAAATGTGTCCCGCAGGTTTCATTTTCGGCTAAATTGAAATTCTCTGTAGGCTTCCATTTGCTTACAGGGAAAACCTAGCACTAGTTTCCATCATGCTACCTAATCAACAGCTGCAAATAATTTCCACTAGATGGTTGAAACTGCAAATGGGAGTTGAATGGAAGCTGTTGATCTTGTTGACTAGATTGGCCTTGAAGAGATCAAAGTATTGTTGCCGAAATCCTCTGTCACATGCTCCTTTGTGATTTTTGGATAAGTGACTTGTTTCTGCATCCTGTATAAGATAAGGCTTGTAATTCCCTTCTCAGTGGTGTTCTTGTAAAGAATAGCTTAATTACACCAGGAGTTTGCTTAGTATGATACTTTAGCTGGAAAGACAGGTTTGGAGGTCTCTCTTCCATGTTTCTGTTTTCCTAGTAAATACTGAACTTAACTGAAAATACGACACACACATTCAGAAGAAAAATTGAATTTACTTGTAATAAACTAATTTTAAGCATTCATAGGTATGTTATTTGCTTAAGTTATTAAAATTACTCTGCTGTTTTTCAAAAACTGCTTTTCTTCTCCCAGCTACATATCAGACCCTTACAAATTAGAGAGATAGGAAGAACCCTGTTCTTTATGCTCTGAAAAAATAGAGAAAAACCACTTCCTTTTTACTGCAAGGTTTACTTTTTTTTTTTGGAAACTCTTTTTGATTAGATGTGGGCTATTTTGACTGTCCCAATAAAGATATGAACCATCTTGATCCTGTTGAAATAGTTGCTTTATGTATTGTTTTTCAAGGCTAATACCCCATATATATACATATACGTTTAAAAAAAAAAAAAAAGTCGATGTTAGGAATGTTGGTGCTTGGCATAATTAAAAGATGTGTTTTGAATGTTTATTTGTTTTGCTTGATTTCCATGCTTGAAAAGTTTTTAGATTTCTTTTATCAGTGTTGTGAATTTTAGTCATGCTATGTTGTGAGTCAGAAGACTAATTTCAAGCAGATTGTTTTTTAAAATACCTTCAACAGATGTCCCTTAATCTATTTTAAATAATTTCAAAAACTTCTCAGAGCATCACTTCAAAGTAGTTTCACTTAAGCACTAAAGATTATACTGTGAAGAGCATTTCCACACTGACTGGGTACACTAAATATTGCATGTCTTGTTTTTGTGACTGGGAAATGTAAGTGCATGCTCATCCTGATGTGTGCAACCTCAAACTTGGCTGTTCTTGATAATTTGCTGTCTTAATGCAATAGGATTCAGACTGATTTTAATTTTTAAATGCCCCATGCTTAATATTCTTCATACTCTTCTAATACAGTGATACCTCTTTTTCTTTATCAGGTATTTGTGAGTAGCAGTGGAAAATACAGCGAACTTGGCCATCCGTTCGGGTATTTAAAAGCAAGCACTACTTTAACCTGTGTAAACCTCTTTGTGATGCCTTACAACTATCCTGTTTTACTTCCGTTGTTAGGTAGGTAATAAGTTTACATTGGACTGCCAATGCAGCTACTTCAGAGTAAAAGAAAACCAATAATGGTTGGTCTACTGCCTTAGTTTGAGTCATTATAAAATATTGGAGATGAGAGAGTAGAGAATGTTGCAAACATAATTTGGGAGGAGAGGATTTTCATACCCCCTCTCCCTTTTTTTCTCTCCAGCAGAGGAGGAGAGCTACCTGCTTCCAGTGCATGTTTGATGCTGTTCACCTCCTAGACACGTAGCCTCTTCCTTAACCTGGAGTAAGCTTCAACCTCCATTCTTTTCCCTCATTTAGGGTGTGGTGTATCCAGGTTTTGCAGTTGCTCTTGTAGCAGCTAATTTTTTACTGGAAGATCAGATACAGTGTTTGTCATGGGTGTTGGGAAGAGGGAATTATCTGACGCAGTTTAGAGCAGTAAGAAGGAATTGAGCTGTGAAACAGTCTACGTTTCTTCCCTGCCCAGAGGACCAGTGTTTTTTTCACTCCCACAATGAAATTACTTTCTACAGGAAAGATGGTATGAAAAGGTGCTGTGTGAATAACTGCCATAATAATTGTGGCCATCAGGGTTCTGGCATAAAGGTAATGGCAGAGGGAAGAGTTTCTTGGGTGCTACTAACCCTTTTAGTTGCAGATGCTGTAAGGCTTTTTTGTTCTGTTTTTTGTGGCTGTGTTTAGTGATACAGAGTAATGGTGGAGATCAAGAGAATTAACATTGACTCTTACTGTCTTACGCAGGATTTTTCCATTAATTTCTAGAAACACCCCCGCACACACTACACAGTTCAGGAATGTTTTTTCGTAATCCTGGTCATAACCAAAAAAAGGAATTTGTGCTTGCTGATAATTTGAATGTTGTCTTATATAGTTATCCATGGAGCCTAATAATTGTCCCAAAGTGTGCAAGTAGGATATTTCTAGACTAAATTAGATTTTCTGTGAGTTTGTGGCTACTGAATTACTGCAGCAGATCCACTAGCTGAAAAGCCATCACTGATACTAAATGAGTTTCCCTGTTCATTTTGATGTTGACATTTGCAGTTCTGCTGTGTCTTCCCTGGCAGCTCTTTTCGTCCCCCTGCCTTTTTTGCAGGGGTGTAAAGGTCTTCCTACTCTTTGGAGAAAGGCATTTTTCAGTACGCATAGTGCTATTCTGCAGTTTACTCACCTGGTATCCCACATCTTAAATTTCTGAAGCCGGTTTAAAGGAAAATGCAGAGCTTCCATGTTGGCCAAGTTGCAAAGCGGATGTTTTCTCTAGAACGCAAATACTGTGCATTCCTTATTGGTAACACAAACACATACACAAAGTGTACCTTCAGATCTCAGTCCAAGACTTTGTTTATCCTTGGTCTCTAAGACATGGTTGGAATTAAGTTCTGTGGAATATACATAAAACATGAAAGCAGATCTGGCCCCTTTTCTATTTAGCAGTACAGAAAACGACTAAGATGATAAGCAGCATACCTGTTGAATTATTTGTAGGTGTTTTAAAAAAATACTGACTCTGTCTTTGTAGGTAGGTAGGGGTTGGTTCTGGTTTTAAACCCTCACCCTGTGTCTGTCTTAATGCCTACCAATAGTGGATACTGATGGTTCAGTAGGAGACTGATTTGTATGTGTAAACCCAATCTTTCAGTACTCACACCCAGATTAAAAAGAATGTGAGAACCAAGCCCAGAAGTCTGCTCTGTTCAGCCACTACCACACATATTGGTGCGTCACTGAGGCTCTAGTGGCTACCTCCTTACTGGTAGAATATTGTGTTGGAGGACTGGGACTCATCTTGGGACAGTACTGTGGATAATCTCATTCCCTTCCTTCTAGTGACTCTTCCAGACAAAGCCAAAACCACTTTACAACTGTATTGTTTGTAATGTCTTACCAAGTGGCTTACGCGTGTTCAGCCTTATAAACAGATAGCAAGATGCCTAAGAATTTTTTTTTCTTGCTTTTTTGTTTTCCCTCTGCATTCTTGAGCAGGGGAAGTTTTAATTATATTTTTGGAAAATAATGTAAGAGACAGTCCTGAAAGACAGGTAAGATAGGCATGATGAGGAAGCTTGCAGATAATACTTGAGCAAACTGAAACAAGTTGTAGTGGTCCACGACTGAAGGAGGTAAATTGTACCACATCTTACAGATTTGGTGATTTATTATCTTGGCTTCTGCAAGAGTGGATTTGGGAATGCTGTAGCCTTCTCTGAGTTTGTCATTTAATGGGTCTGCTTGTAGAATCTGAAACGGTGTAAGGAAAGGAGACAATTAATGAGGCTTCATAAAACAGCAAAGGCGAAGCTGTAAGGTCCATGTGTTAACCTGACCTATGCACTGTGGTAAATTGGTTGTCTGACAAAAATTCTGGTCTCTAGATCTTTTACAGAGGTAAGACAGATGGTGTGGGATGTGCTGTTACAGCCGAGTGGCTCCATTTTGCTCTCATAGGAAAGACCCGAGAGGCACCATGACTGGCTTGGGGGGGTGGTTTGCTCCAAGAACTGAGGAGGTGGGGTAGAGTTCGTGTCTTTTTATTTTTTGCTCAGTGTGAGGCAGACCTCTGAAGAGAGAACTTTTCCCAGACAGATGCTGATGTACTTTGATGCTGACTGTGTTTGGCCCGTGGATTATAGAAATTTTCACTTGAAGGGTTGTTGCCTTTATCTGATACTAGCAAAGCAATTGTACTTCAGATAGTCTTCTGTTTAAAAGCAATTGTACAGCCAAGTTCATAAAGCAGAAGTCAAAGGAGGGGTTAGAGAGCGAGCTTAGCAAAGATGAGGTATGCTTCTGAACGCTCCTGCCTTGCCTAAGATGTTTCCTTGGCTGATCTTGGCTGCGCTAGTGGGAGGGCAGGCACTGCGGGGCAGTAGGAGCGATTATTCATGGGGAGTGTCAGCAGAAGCAGTAGTGAAACAGTCATGATGAAAATACCATGAGAAGGTGGTTAATACCCTGTCTCTGTGGGTCTAAATAGGCAAAAGGATGAGCATTTAGAAAATGTCTGCCTGTGAAGGACTGCAACATGGACAGTTCCCTTTGATGCTTTTACAGGCTCCTTGAGAGAACCTGCAAGTAATGATATTTATTTTTGAAACCAAGGGCTGTCTTTCTCATGAATGTGAACACAGCAAGCTGTGGCGCTGGGAGGGAGAGCCAAACATTTTGTATCAATGAAAAAAAAGTGCTGTAATACCTTTTTTAAAGGTGGATACTGTTTTACATTGTAGTGCCTTATTTTTGGCTAGATTGTTTGCAGGGAAGGATGCTGCTTTCCGTGAATGTAAAATCATGACTCTCTACTGCTTAAAACAAAGGAGTATATCTATTAGTGCAGAGGCATTAGAAAGCTCAGTGAATTACAGGAGCCAACAGGGAATGATGGTGTACTTGCTCAGGTGGGATTTAATGTGAGTGGTGATTTTTTTTTTTTTTTTTTAAAGTGTAAATTTTTACTTTGGGTTACATGGTGCAAGCTGTCACTCGCAACTAGACTGCTGTCACATGAACTGTTCTTGTAATTAGGCTCTAGCTGAATTACTAAAATTACCTGCTGATCATTCTCTCATGCTCTCTTCTTAACTGTTCACTGCGCTCGAAAGTGCATCAAGTCCCCTTATGTGGTACTGGGTATTAAAGATGTGTATTTGGTATCCTGTTTGTCACAATTTGGTTGTTTTATACATTAATCTGAAGTGGATAAAGACTTTGCAACACAGTTTTAAATTAACTGGTCTGTCTGTAGCTTTACCAGATCTCTTGAATTGTTGCAGCTTGTGGCCCTTTCCTAGCGGTTTTTAATACTGTGTTCCCAATTATCCAGTGCTTTTAGCTCCCTCTGAGTTTAGAAGAAAAAGAATTCTGCATTAAGTGTACTATACAGGGAGTAGTATCTGAAAATGAATAGGTTGGATTAAAACTGATAGATGAAAGGATTTTTTTCAATACCTTAAGATTTTATCTACAGAAGTTTGGGATTTAATCTGTGAAAGACATAGTTAATGGGGTTACTCTTTGTTTGCTTATTTATATAAATGATCATGTGCAGCCCAAGGCACAGTGGAAAAAGTAAGTTTCAAGTGCCTGTGTTGCAATCTGCTGACAGTGTACTTTTCCAACTCTTGCGATAGAGGCAGGTAAGATGCCGATGGTGATGTTCTCTTTGAACCTTATGGCTGTGTTTACCACCATGACTGTCTCCCTTTTAGAGAGCAGGAGTTCCTGCACTGAGTTTGTGCTGTGGGGAGGCTCTCATTTTAAATAGACAAATCTCTGCTGAAGCTCTGCTTAGATTTGTGAACTTCTTACTTGGATAACAAAGATCAGGGAGGTGCTTTTGCATTTGACTCAGACTACAGCTATGCTGTGGATTAAGAATCAGAGCTGGCTGAGCATTAGGAACGTCTGTGCCATTTAAGAGTGGCTGTGCAGTTGAACTGCAGGGGTTGTATACCGGTACAACCTTTGCAGTGCAGGATATGAGACAGTAATAAAGTGCTGATAAGGGGTTTAAGGTTCAAGCTGTGCTCATAATCAACTTTAAAATATTAGGAAATACTATGATACTGAACATTTTAAATTTTAATTTTTTTTTTTAAGTTTTTTTACTTTTGGGAGAGGGGCATACTTTAACTTCCATTTTGCTGCAAAAAGCTAATAGGCTTATAACATAAGAATGGATGTTACTTTATATTTGCCATATGTCATGATATCCTCACAGGTTCTTTTGGATAATAGCGCTAAGCATGTGGTATATTGAGATTTTAAATGTAGTTCTAACTTGTCCTCTCAAACTCCACCCCACTTCCTTCAGGCCAGGAAAAAGAACAATTAGCATCTGTAGTGTGGTTTTTATGTGTGATACAGAATTCATTTAGATTGGAAAATACCTGTAATTAAGTGTGGTTTGACTATGAGAACTTGGAAAATTGTATCTTAACATCTGTTCGATTTGTGCAGAATACTATGCAAGTCAAATTTTCTTCTCCAAATACATCTTTGTGAAAGCTCAATCTGGAGAAAACAATTTCCTTGCTGCATCTGTCTTTTGCACACCCTCTTCTGTGCATCTCTGTCTCCTGCAGCTCTCCCCGTTAATTTTTGGACATCCCTTTCTCCAGTCCTGCATATCATTCCGTTAGCCTCACTTTGCCAGCGTGTTACAGCCCTACTAAGGAGAAACTTCATCTCGATTGATAATGCATAATTTCAAATGATAAATTGAAGGATTCTGTGTTTGTTTTTGATGTTTAGTGATCACTGTGTTCATGGTGTGCTCAGCAAATAGGTAACATGCTTCAACCCAGTGATTCCTAAATGGCAATATGCACACCTCTAGTGCAAGCAAGCTATTTCTAAAAGAGTATCCAAAGGAAATCTGTCTGGTTGTCCCTTTCCTGAAGGACAGCAGTTTTTGTAGCTAATTAATGTCTCTTGTCTATATCTGAGGGAGAGTTTGCTGCTCCGGCACGAGGCAGGCAGTGTGGCTGGAGGTACACCCCTTCTCTGCTGCTGTTGTCAGCAGTGTCCAGCAAAGCTGACCAGAAAGATTCCCTGCTCTGATGTATTCTTTTTTTTTTTTTATCTCTGATGCCCAAGAATGTTTTTATTGGAGACCAGAATTCGTCATACAGGTTGAACAAAAGAAAGCTGGGCTGAAAATGGAAACTGAACCAAAGGAATGTCATTTGGTTTAATCAGATACAGGGAGTCCCTGATGATGCAGGAGAGAGGAGAGGGAGGTGAAACTCTTTAATGGGTGGATCTGTTGCACCCTCCATGCTGGTAGTAGTTGTGTGCAGTATTTAAGTCTGGTGTGCCTTGTTAAGTTTGCTTATAATGAGGACTTGTTCTGGATTGTCTACTGCAGCTAGGATTGGGGATTCACAATCCATCAAACCTAAGGTTAAGAACAGTTTTTGTGGGGAAGCCCCATTGGGAGATGGGTGGAGGGAGAAGAAAAGGGGGGGAAACTTGGCACGTTGAATTTGGATAGTGGTAATGGTCTGGGACTATATAAATGAAACCTTTTTTTGTTGTTTTCCTTGTTGCAGATGACTTGTTTAAGGTTCACAAACTTAAGCCAAATCTGAAGTGGCGACAGGCTTTTGACAACTACTTAAAAACAATGCCTCCTTACTACTTACTGGTATGTTCCTTTTCTCATTTCATCCTCCTGGGTATAATGGCTGGTGTGACCAGAGTCCGGTGCATCATACCTCTTCCTAGTAAATTTTGTTTACATAATTATGATGACATTTTAGGTAGTAAACATTTTGCTTTGCAGAGGTATGTAGATCAGGTCAAACATTTTTAAGCAATCAATCAATTTCTAGTAATATTGAGTAATAGTAACTATTTTAAGATACTAAATGTGTTTTCTGTTCATTAAATATTAAATAAGTTTTGATGTAAAGTACTTTAGATTACTCAAAGAAACCAAATTTAGCATCATTTTTGTAACTTGATAGGGAAAAATGAAGATTTGTTTGTTTATTAATGTGGGTGAAGTGTTAGAAGTTGATACTAAGAGAACTGGTTGGGCCAAATAAAGGGTGGGGGGAGGCACCGTGTCACCTTTTACATGTAGCTTGGACAATGCACCTCAATATGGACTTGCATCATCCCGGCTATTCTGGTACTGAGCCTTTGAGTGGAAATTGCCAGTGGCACCACACTATGTGGTGTCTTGGTAATGTGGCATAATGTCCATTGCAAGCTAGTTAGACTACCAAACTTATGTCACATGTTATCTGAATAGACTTGAATTTTAGTGGCCAAAAGTGGAAAAGCTAGAGCACTAATCCACGTGCTTTAGCTTCCTGTAATTGATCTTATAAATTTTTTTTTTAAAGACTTATTCTCTTACTATTGTGTATTTTGTTTTCCTTATAGCCATTAAAGAAAGCCCTAAGGATGATGGGAGCTCCAAATCTGATATCAGATAATTTAGATTGTGGACTTAGTTACAGTGTTATCTCTTACCTTAAAAAACTCAGCCAACAGGTAGTATTGATAAAACCTTTGCAATTAGAAGTGCGTTGATTATTTAGTTTGTGGTAATCTCATTATAAAGCAGTTAATCCCTGTGGGGGTTCGTATGGGTGTACAGCATATATTATAATTGAAGATTGGTCAGCATTTCCACTGTAAATGTGGATGAATCCAGAGTGATTCTGTAGCCAGTGATTGTGCCTTCTGTAAGTGGTGGAGGGGAGTGTGAAGGAGACCTCTTCAGCTACATTTTAAGTATCTGCTAGACCTTTAAGCTCCAAAGATTATCACTAATTGGATTTTTGACTGCTCTTGTAATTGTTCTTCACAGCTGAAGTCAGAGGCTTGTTCTCAGTCTCATGTTTATTTCCATGTGTGCCTTGGCAATGTGTATGCTCCAAAAAAGTGTATGTTCTTGTCAACGGGGATTAAAGTCATAGTTCAAGCTTTATATTTCAGCTTCCTGTTTCCTTCAGGTCAAATCCATTCTGTGGGTTAAGCATGACCTGGTGGGAAATGGTCTCTTACATATCTTTTTCTCTTTGTCAAGAATGCCTTTTCAGGTGTAACTGTCTGAAAGCCCGTGCCTCCTTAGCACGAATGGTTCTTACAATTGTAGTTTAATACCTAGAAGTCAGTGGGGAAGCAGTGCAGCCTTCAAAATTACAAAGAAAAAATCCTCCGCCTTAAAGAATGCACAAAATACATCCCAAAAGCCTCTGAATGACTGAAATTAGACATAAAATTTCCTGTGGTATTTCAGTAACTTAATGATATGCAAATTCATATTATTTATCTGCAGTATGGAGTTGGAATGGCTTGAGATGGCTTCTGTGGTTTTCACAGACATTCTCAGCACATGAAACAGTTTAAGTGTATTGGATGCATTATAAGCTCCTGTATAGGGACAAGCAGTTCCAGAATTCTGCTGTGCTCCTGCTGTCCTTAAATTCAGAGTTTCCCACAGATAATGAAGCAAACCCTGCAGAGAATGAGATCTGGGGGAAGTGGGTTGCAATCGCCGTGGGTTTTGGGGTTTTGGATGGTTGGGGTTTTTTTGGAGGTATTGCAAGTGGGTCTTACTTTGAATACAGTTAAAGATTAATGCAGTTAAGATTATCTGTAGCTATAATAAGAAATCTGTGCTAATTGGTGAAGTAATAAGTTTTTAGAAACTTACTGATGAAGCAAATTTCCTTTATGACTTTTCTCCCTTATCTTGTTGCAAACATATAGTGCAAACCTTAGTTTGTAGGTTGTTTCAAAAATTGAATCTGAAATTATGTTACTGTATCTGAATAATACTGTTTTCGATCCAACTTTACAGTAACCTAAGGCACCCCCCCTTCGATTATTTTGTTTTTCTTTCCCTTTAAAGGGATTCTTTAGGTACACAAAAGAAAGTCACAAGACTTGCAGCAAAATCGGGGTTATTCACAGACCTCCTACTGGCATACAAATTTAGATACACTGGCTAAATATTTTTTCCATATGCTAGCACATTAGGATTTCTTTCTACTTGAGATCTAATCTTTGTAATCCAATACATCCCTGGGTAGGTAGTTCTCCCATTTGTTGAGTGGTTGGGAACAAAATTTTAGTTTTATTCTGTTAATGTACTTTTATTCTGTTAATGTACTGTGTGTTTTATACTGGAAATCTGCAATGCCTGCTGATTCTTTAACTCATGGTGTGATTCCATTTTAGACAAAAATAGAGTCGGAACGGATAATAGGTTCAGTGGGTAAGAAAGTTCCACAAGAAATTGGAATAAAAGTGAAAAATCACTCCAGTGGCCTCTCCTTGGTACACAGTAGGGATTTTAAGCAACTGCTGCAAGGGATCACTGGGGAATCTCCACTGAGACTGGCGGAAATGAATGTTAAAGAATTTGCTGGCTTCCACATAGGACTTTTAAACAAGGTAAACGGCATTGTGATCTTGCATGATTAAGCAGTTGATCTCATCTGTTTTAAATGAGTAACTTTTATGGACTTGGTATAGAAGGCGGCAGTAAGTACTTCCACTGAACTGTGAAGAGTGCAGCGTAGGCATAAAGAGTGAGAAGAGTAAATGCAGTTTTTTGCACTTGCTTTTGGGACACTGGAAATCCTATGGTAGTAAACAAAGATTACTATGTTTTAAGTGACAATCTCTGCAAAAGACAGCTAGTGTTGTTCATCCAGGAATTAACATGCTTAGTTTTAATGGAGCTGAAAGCACTAATACTGAATGAGGTCCTGTTGAAAGGACAATCATTGAGTTTGCTGTATCCGGTTATGAAGCTCTGAAGTTACTTCAGAATAATTGTTTTAATAGTTAACGTTATTACAGTTCATAGAGGAATTTGTCTGTGCATAAGAACTGATGGATTAAGTGAAAGTTATTTGGTTTGTTACAAAACTAGGATTTGAAGCCACAGGCATTCAGAAATGCATATGATATTCCTCGTCGCAGTCTTCTAGACCAGCTAACTAGAATGAGAACCAATCTTCTGAAAACACACAGGCTTATCTTGGGGCAGGATGAAGGTAAGTAGACACTGTTCTTCATTTAACAGTTAGGAGAGAGTACAGCTTTTTTTTTTTTTTTTTTTTTTTTTTTTTTATTCCCTGAAGTAGTGTTTTCTGTTCTGGTTGTGGGAGCAGAAGTGGACATTCCGTCATTTGTTGAGTCAGTCAGTGTCCTTTTCTTGACTCTGAAGGGGAAAGAAGGAAATTTTTGCCTTCTGTCATGCAAGATGTCATGCTTGCTTTGAATTTTAAAAGTAAGTTGCATGGGAGAGCTTTCCCGTGCATTAAGGTTCAGTACACATGTTTTTTATAGTCGAGGTAGCTTAAAGCAGAGAGGGGTTTATTTTGTTTTACCTTTGATATTAGGTGCTGGTGGTCTAAAGATGCAGTTGTTAGCACAGAGATTAAACTTGCTCATATTTCATTCTTCTGCCAATGAAGCTCAACTCTTGCCAGCCTTATTTCCAAAACTGTAGTCTTCAGCTCTTCCTCCGTAGTGAAAAGACGTAGTCATTTCTAGTTCTTAAATGCTAACACTTGCAATTGAAGTGCGCAAAGTTTGTATTGCCTTAATTTTAAGGTAGACTAAATTAAGATCTCTTGTTCTGTTGCAGACTGCCTTCATAGTGTTCCTGTTGCTCAAATGGGAAATTACCAGGAATACCTGAAAATGATGCCTTCACCCCTTCGGGAGATTGACCCAGATCAACCAAAAAGACTTCATACATTTGGCAATCCATTTAAACAGGATAAGAAGGTAGGAGGAGCCACACTATCTGCTGTATTTTTATATTTAACATGATTTGAAATAATTGTGAGTAGAACTTCTCTCCAACAACTGCAATATGTTGCTAACCTGTGTAGCTCTTCTCTTATGTGGAGAGGAGTGGTGTCTTTCACGTGGTCCAAAAGAAAGGCGTAAAATTCATGCTGATTTACAGAGTGGTACTGGTCTGTCTCTGGTTACAGTATACATTAGGTATCTGTGTTCTGAGAGCTGTAAAGTGGTTTGAAAGCCACCTGAATTTTAACACAGGGTGACTTTCTACCAATGAATTGATGAAACAGTTTCTATTTTGTACTGGTTTTAATTTTTTTTTTTCTTTTTTTCTTTTCAGGGTATGATGATTGATGAAGCAGATGAATTTGTTGCTGGGCCTCAGAATAAGATTAAACGTCCTGGAGAGCCCAATACTCCAGCGTCACTGAAGAGAAGACGTAGCATGTCACCACTGTTGAGACGACCACAGTCACCACCCGTTGTAACAAATCATGTTGGTGGGAAAGGGCCACCGTCTGCTTCTGGATCCCCATCATATCTGAACCTCAAAGGCATCCCAGCAAATAAAGGTATATTGAGTTGTAGTAAAGCAGCCTGCTTGGTCACACAAGTGGGAATATCTGTGTGTTAAAAAAACCCAACCAACACTGCCCCCCAACTCTCCCCAAAAATCAAAAAAACCCACCACCCAAAACCCAACCAAAAAACCGAACCAACTCTCTGTGCTTTCTGAGCTGATTTAAAAGGGTATATAGCAGCTATGTATGCTTTAGTGTTAATTAGGATTGGGTTTCTTTTGTTGGCCTAGATAAACCAGGCTGCTACTATAGCTGATGAAGTCTGGAATAAAAAAAACAATTTTGAACTGTTTTAAAAAAAAATAAATACTGAAACCTTTTGCTAAGGTAGTTTTGGAGGTAGCAAGGATTTCACATCAGCTTTTAGTTCTCATTTGCATATTGTGGTGGGGAAAGTTAGTTACAGTATGGTTCCATTTTCATTTCCCACAAATAGTCATTTTCTTACCCACCTATTGGCAGCAAATGGAGTCAGAAGAAAACTCTGTTAGCTGGAATTGGGGGAAGGAAGCAAAGCATAAGTTTACTTAGAAATCATAACAATGCAATAGGATTACAGAAAATGGTGACTTCATGGTAGTGATACGAGATGATAGTTTGGGGGAAGTATTCTCTTGGTCACATCAAAGGTTGAATAAAAGTATTGGAGTTGTTCAGCACTGTCAGATCAGTACTTCAAACAAGAAAGGATACAGAACTATTTCCTTTTGGTTTTTTGATACTGAAGTTACGCACTAGTAAAATACATATTTTTAATTTGTAGATACCAATAACAGTGTTGTGCAAGATGACAATGGAGAGAAGAAAGCAGAAAATTGTCAGTCACTGGAAAAGCAAATTGATGGCTTACCTGTGCAAATGGCTCCTTCGGTTCCAGCTGCTATGGGAGAGGATGAAATGTTACCCAATGACTTAGACTCTCTACCTGTTGAATACAATTGTTTAAGTGAAGATGGCTTGGATCATAAACCTGGTACCAATGCACTTGTTCGAGGGCCTCTAAATTACAGTGTGACTGGAGATGACCAAAAACGGGTGATGGAGTCTACTTCGGAATCTGTGCCAAATTCATTTAAAATAACACCTATGATGTTGGAGGGCAACAACGCTGATATCAAAATTAAAGTGATGAAAGAGGTTCGCAAACCTGGAAGAAGTAAGTTGGGGGGTTTTGTTATTAGTAGTATATTATACGTGGTGCTAGAGAGACTTTTTTTTTCTTGAAATAAGGAGCTATTTTCAGTAGATATACTTTAGAGTTCGAATAATTTCCGATTGCTTGCATATGAGCAATGGAGGGACAAAAAAGGAAGAGAGTTCTTACATGCTGGGCAGGTGACTTGAAGTTTAGACAGCAGTGCTTGGGAAGCTGAGCACCAAGTGACCTTGTTTGCCCTTGAAGATAGGTTAACTAGTGTAAGGGGTACCCTGTGAAAGCACCTTTCGGAGTTTTGGTTTTGTTACTTATGATCTATACACAGACTTTGCCTAACTCTGCACTGCTCCTTGCGTATGCATAGTGTACTTTGTTGCTCTGTCTGTCAAAACTTCCTTTGGAGGGCAAAGGCGTGTGTAGCTACAAGGGTGCATCTTGGAATACGTTTGAAAGGGAATCTTAACAGTAGCAAAGTGATACTTTTTTATTTTGCAAGATAGTGTAATTAGTGATGAAACACTGTTGCAAACTTAAGAACTGAAGACTAAAAATTACTTACTTCTTTTTTCCTATAAGGTTTGATAACCCCCCAAAATCTAAAATGTTGTGAGGAAAAGTAACTTGCCTCCTCAGCTTTTGTTACATGTTTTACCTGTACTTGTATACAGGATCAAACACAAAACACTAACTTGAAACTCCAACTAATGTATATGATTTGCCATAGGTATAATCTTTCCATTTTTTCTTAAATGGCAGATGTCCCTAATATGGGCTGTGTTTGAATTATTTCTACAAATTAAACTACTGAGTATTTTTCTAATAGGTTGTCAAGTGCCGGGAGTTAGTATAACGGAGTATACTAACTGTATACAGGAGAGTATACTCTCCTGGTTTTCTGATCTTGTGTTGCTTTCCCAAAACTTAGTATTTTGTTGAGACATATAATCATTGTGGCAGGCTGAGGCTGTTGAGAGATGAAGCCATTTTTATGCTGCATCTGTATTTAATTTTTAAGGTGTTTTAAAGCTTGCTACTTGGGCATGTCTTTGCTTCCTGTTCTGCAGAGTGGGCTCATCTAATCTTATACCAAATTCATGTCTAGTAAGTGGTGATGTAGAGCACAATAGTACTATGTTCAGTATGAGCCACCTGTCTTGCTGCAGAGTTCAGGCAGGCATCAAAGAAAGAAGCTAAACAGTAGTGGGTTAAATATGCACATATATTCACAGTTCTGACCATACATGCTCTCTGTGCCTGCTGCATTGCTCTGAGCAGGCAACATGTCAGTCACAGCGCCGTAAATATCTTCATGCTGGGTTCAACTACGGAAAATACTGAACCAATGCTATTTTTTAATGTGTTTCTAGTTTATTGTATCCAGTTCATTCTTTTGCAGTGGATATATGTACTTTGTACCAGTAAGATAGTCATATTAATTGTGCTCACACTAAGCACTGATAATTAGTCCTTCTAAGAGAACTAATCCAAACCTTTGCTTTCAGAAATGACAGCTCTAGGATAAAACAGGGCCTGGTGGCCCTACGTGCACATTGACTGCTGATGATGGCACTGTGTTCATGGAGATACGAGGCTTCTCTACCTAGCCTGCATTTTCTGAGGGCAGAGCTTTCTAGCTGCTGCTTTTACAGAGAACCTAATTCTTTGGTGCCACATTTGAATACCAGATCATCAGTATCACTTCAAATTTTTGGTATCACCTGCTTTCTGTGTGTAAAGCTAATGCAGGCTATTTTAGAATCATAGAATCATTTAGGTTGGAAAAGACCTTTAAGATCATCAAGTCCAACCATTCCCCTAACCCTGGCATCCCACCACTAAACCCTGTCCCTAAGCACCTCATGGCCCCCAGCCTCTCCCATCAGCCTTGGGCTCCAGACCCCTCCCCAGCTCCGTTGCCCTTCTCTGGCCATGTTCCAGCAACACAACATCTTTCTTGTAGTGAGGGGAAATTTTCTTGCTTTACGTGTATTACCATGCACAGGATTGTGAAACCCTGGACTTTGTTTTTTCTTTTGGCTGTTAAGCTTTATTGAAAATGCATTTCCAAGACTTACTTTTAATATGTGGTTCTATGTTTATCTTTTTTTTCTTTTTTTTAGATTATGAAAAAATTTTCTCTCTTCTTGAGGAGGTGCAAGGACCTATGGAAATTCAGAAGTATTTCATTGAATTTGCTATCAAGGAAGCAGCAAGGTTTGTATAGATATAAATGACTTGGAGTCATAAATTACATGTCAATTTAGACCATGCTAGTTAATCATAAACTTCCAGTACTAATATTTTCTGGTTTCCTTTTTGACATATTTGAGTTATTATAGTTGTTTGAGTCAAAACACCATTTTGTGTTTATGGTGTAAATGGTCTTCACTTGAAGTTTAAATGTGAAATAAAGAGACGGCTTGCTATTAAAGACTGACCCAAAATTTTGGGTGGGTTGGGGAAGGGTGGCTGTATTAAATTAAACTTTCTATCCATTCTAATGCCAGAAATAAAGAAAGCTCTTCCGTACTGGAAACAGAGAGCCTCTGGTAATATGATTTGTCATGGCTGAATAGTCTTTTGAGTTGTTCAGCTGTATTTTTGGAAGAAAAAAATTGAATTGCTCTCCCTCTCTTCCTTAGGTTTAAAAAACGGGTCTTAATACAACACTTAGAGAGAATACTAGAGGAACTAGAGTTCAACAGCCTACCCAACAGAGTTAATCATGTCAACAGTAGATAATAATGTACCGGCCAGACGAATACGGACCAGGAATGAGTTTGCTGTGCCGCAGAAGAGTGGAAGAGGATGTAGCTGCTGCCCTCACCATCTTGGCAGTCAAGTGATTTTACCGTCACAGTCTGAGAAGAAGCAGTGGAGCTTTAACTTTAAGAACCTCTATCGGCAGAAGCTGGGCTATAACCTTAAGGATTTGCTATGAAAGGTGTGGCTTTTTTCCTGTGGAGGGTGCTATTTGCTCAACAGGCTGAAGAAAATAACCATTGCTGCCCCTCCTGCAGGTGATGAGAATTTACTCATTTGAACGCTGTCATTAGACATTTACGTGCTATAGGCAGCAGGTTGCACTAAAACGGGGCACTGTCAAATGCACACACTGTCTGCATCGTGGAGAGAGCCCGTGTGTTCCCAAAAAAAAAAAACCCTCCCAGAAACACCTGCACTGGTAAAATTGCATGTTGCCACCACAGAGACAAGGGTCTTGTTCCCAAGAACTGCTAGCCATGCCTTTAAACTTGAGATTCAGTGTAGATTGAGAGTAAAGAAACTGCTATTGTGTTAATGAAAGCTAAAGACAGCCCTGTGACTGTTACCACCCGATGGTCACTAAACAATCTACCTCAGACTCTCTTCTGTTTTGTCTGCAGACATTATGAAAGTGCACCTGAGGCTTCCCAGGTCCCCGACTTCAGTTCTCTTTCATCCTGTGAGGAGGACGGAGATTCTTCAGGTGGCCTTGGCACACGCTGTGCTTTGGAAGCACTAAAAGGAAACGCTTTTAAAAACGTGTATTTTAATGTTCATACAAAAGAGATTATTTTGAACAGTATTGTTACCAGATCACTAATTTGATATTTTAACTGTATAAATTTTTTGGAACATATGTATATATAAAATAAACCATTTTATTAATTTTTAATAAGTGCTAATCTGAGGAGTCTGTAGCGGGCAGCACTGAGTTCCTCCAACTGTCTGTTACCAACAGACTGCTAACATTTTTGTAAAAACCAGTGAGCAGTGTAGCTATACTGCAGCTGAACCCAATCTGCACACCCTCAAACACAGCTTGCAGTTATGGTTGCAGAATGTGTTTGTACCCTGGAGCACCTGCCCCATCACTCAGCTCAGCCTGCGCGGAGTGCACGTTTTAACTCAATATTAAAGACACAAAGTTCCAGTTTACCAAACCCTTGGTTACCTGAGCTGGTATCCTTTCCTCCGTTCCTCTTACTATTTTGTCCAAAGGTAATTTTATATATCACAAAACATACAAAGAAGACTGAAGCACCTACATGTAATGATTTTTTTTTTCCTTTAAAGCAGTACCAATAATATGCCAGTAGTAAGCGGCTCTTCTGATAATTGTGTATTTTCAGTTGTTCATACTTAACATCCTCTGATCCTGTGACAGCTTTGTTTTAAAGACAGGTTGAAGTTGTGCTTGTGTTAACTAGCTCTTTGCCTCATACTGCAAATATCCCAGGGATTCCAGTTGACTAGCCAGTGCATGAGAGGCAGGGAAACGGATTTTAGCTGGTGAGCCTGTACTTCTCTGTTCCTACTGGTATTTTTAGTACTAGCCAGCCTGTGAGACATCTTTTCCATCCGCTCTGAAGCAGTGGCCTTGTCTCTCTGGAAGATGCACTTTGACCATTGGAATTACACCAGAGAAATTCAAGAAGGAAATAAAATCCAGCAACAGCAAATCTCTGTCACAGTGTGATGTGAATGAAGTGACATGGGGAAAGGCGTCACTATAAATGTGTCCTAATTCTTCTTGTAGAAGTGACTTTTATTCATCTGTACAGTTGAAGATTTAAAAAAAAACAAAACCAGAAATACCTTGGAATGATACAAAGGGGGGGATTCACTCCGTCAGAATTGTTATGTGGAAGCTGTATGTCACCGTGATAGACCTCCCATGCCTAATGTTGGACTCTTAAAAGGGAATTTATTTACAGAAGGTCAGATATACTGTGCATACCTTGTTCTAAAATGACCTGGTTGCATGCATCAAGTTGCATGTAATATGCCACTCTGAACTAGTAGGTGGCAAGAGGAGACCGCTCTTTTATCTAGTTAATGGTTATTTAATTTTGTTTCCTGGTTCCAGTTACTCACTTGATCATAATGTGTCTGAGCAGGGGCTGAGTTTTCAATTAGTGACCTCGTTAGTATGTAAACCTGCTCTTTCAATGTGATGCAGTTGGCTGCCAAATTAGCTACAGGAAGCTGGTGACTTTCATTCACCCATTTGGAATCTTATACCCCCAAAAATGCACAGAAATGACAAGATACTCCATTCAAGTCCAAGTAGCGAGCATTTTCTCTTACCATTATTTTGTCTGAATAAATTGAATTTGGATCAGAATACTAGAGGGGAAGAAGACTTCTGGTGAACTGGACACAAGTCTTCATAAGAAGGAAGGAAGATGTGCTGTCCTCACAGGTTGTCTCAGGGAAGAGATGAGGAAGAAGGAGCGACAGCGCACCGAAGAGTGCACACAGCCCTGCGTCCCAAATGGAGCACAAAATGAACATTGCTTGCTTAGAAAACAGTAAGTGCTCCACAACCCTGTTAAGGAGGATCCTAATGGAGGTAACTCCTCATAAGACAAACAGCCGTGCTGGATGGGGGTGGAACGTGCTTTGACCAAATACAGCTTCAAGCTTTGAATAGCACCTTTCACTTTGGTGTGCAACTGGGACAGCCAAGAGGGGTTACGCTAGTGTCAAGCCTTGCCTTTTCTAGGTAGAGACCGTGACCTCGGAAGCAACAGCTACATTACTGAGAGCATGTCTGGTCTGTGCGACGGGTGAGCCTCTGCACAACTGGAGTGTTCCTCAGCGAGGGCTCAGGAGATGGCACAGGTCCACAAATACATACGGATATGTGGATGGAATCTGGAAAGCTGCATGCGCTTTGCTCAAACTTAGGTTTTTGAGCCCTTATCTAATGTTGAAATAATGCAGCACAGTTAAACTGGAATGTTAGAAAGTGAGGAAAAAATACGGCTCACTCTGTTTCCTGTAAGGAGCATTGTTTAACAGTCTGAATTGACAAATTAAATGCTTACCTTTCTGCCATGGGTAGAAGGGCTGGGTGGTACTTTGGATACATATATGTATTCTGCTTCTTCCCTTTCCTGATCCTCTCTTAACTAGGCATCCTCATTGCTCATTATGTTTATTTTTTTCCCTTGTAAGCACCAAGGAGTCTTCCTCTTTCCTGAATTGAGCCCATAGCTGTGTAGCTCCCAGTCCAGTCACGGACGGCAGATGTCTGTTAGGTGCTGCTGTCCCAATTCCTGTGTGCAGTGCATTTATGATGGGCATGTGTACTCTTGCCCGTGCTTAACCAGCATCAGAAAACGATTATCATCTTCCAAAACAAAAGCCGCAGAGGCTGTTACTGTGCTGTGCTTGACTTTGCAGTGGCCAAGCAATTGTGTATCTCCCTTTACAGGAAACTGTACTGAAAAAGACCCCAACCCTGTGTCTCTTTTTCTTCTGGTAATTTTCTCCAGGTTCTGCCTCTAAGCCGGCTGGCTGAAATGGCAGCGATGTAGGGTATTGAGTTTGCTTCCTTTTGTTCTGGTTTTTAATATCTACTAAGAAACTTCTGATGGAAAAAGGAGTGGAAATTCATTGGCTAACAGAAACTATTAAGCTATAAAGCTAAACTGTAGTGTTTCATACCAGCAACATGGCAACGTCGTGCCTTTAGCAAGTGGACTCTAGAGCGGCCATTTTGAAGAATATACAACCTAGTTAAGCTGAAAGCAAGGCCAAAGACACTTCAAGTGTGGCAGAAGTGAGGCTTGGCAGAGATCTGAAGGAAGGATGTTAGTCACTGGATTTAAAAGGAGCTGCTGCTTTCAGGTCTGCAAAAACAAGCTGAAGTCTGTCTTAAGTGGAAAAGGAAGAAATTGGAGAAGAATAACGCCTTGGGATTTAGCAAAAATCTTGTGGCCTGCAGGAATTGTTAAGCTGTGCTTCCAAATCTGAATCTTGTGATCAGTTTTTGATTGCCTTATTTAGGCTGTCGTTTCAGGGAGGGAAGACTAAACCAAAAAGGCTGGACCTGTCTGATTTTCTCCATTCCAGTTCAGCTGCAACTTGGCGTGTTGTTTCATCCTTGAAAGTAGTCAGTTGGCTGGGCTGCAGCATTGGTGTTTTTATTCTGTCGTTCTGTGTTGACAGTGTTCTCGACTGTCTTCTGGTAGTGGCCAAAACTGTGGCAGTTTTGCAGGAACCCTGTTGTCCATCAAGCAGGGAGCATGGGTAGAGGCTATGGGTAGAGTTGGTGGGAAAAGCAGCCGCTGCTTGTATGCGGTGAAAGCTGGTTCAGCATCGTCGGTTCAACTTCAGAGCTTTTGTTTTAAAAACACATGAGATGCTTCTCAAGGCTGGGAGCACAAATCTGGTAACTTCAGCAGCAGATTTTTCAGAGTTCGGAAGAAGAATACACCAGGGAAGGAGTTAAACTGTCGGTACAGCCTTATGCTAAACTCACCGGAGGGTGTTTTCATATGCGGTGGCAGAACATAGCTGCATATGCCTTCCTCGAGCTGGCAGCCATGTGGGATTGCCAGGAATGGTGACTGCTGATACAGTGTAAAGAAAACAAAATCACCCTTTACCGTGAGTTGGGAAGCTATCAAAGAAGCTGCGTTTCGTAAGATTTTGAGGTTGGGCTGAAGCTCTTAAACAATTTCTAGTGAAGTCCAAAAGAATAGTTTGGCCTGGGAAAGGCAGTGGAATGGAAACCTCTGATCAGATTTTTGCGGGAGATTTATTTGGGTTTTTTGAGAGCTTGGGGAATTTTCATCTTCACATCTGCAATGGGAATTTCACGGCTATTTTCTAGTCCTGGAGCAGCTCCAACAGCAGTGGAAGTAGCTGGATCCTTGGCATTTATGTATGCTCGCTGTCAACTCAATCACTGTCACTCCTCTAATGCAAGCAGTCTTGCATAATGTCCCTTAAAATATTGGGCACCTTTGGCAATTTGCTGTATCCCAGTGCTCCGCTCGCCACTGCTGAGCAGCTGGTAGGAAGGACAGAAAGCAATTTGCAAAGCATCCTCGTGGTGCGTCCCTGTTTGTAAAATACTTACAGCCTCGCAGCACGGTGAAACGGGAGGAGAGGTTTATAAAGCATTTTGGTAGTTACAAGGGCAAAGCTCTATTTGCGCAGTCAGCCTGTTTCTTGTCATTTTCTCTGAAGTCTGTGCCTATTTTAATGGTACATTTTATTTGTAAATATTTAATACGTAAAATATATCAAAAAGAGGTTCAGCCTTTTGTAAAGGATGGAGTTGGAAAACTTTCCCTCCTGTTCCAGCTTGCAGCTGTGACCCATCCGCTTGTGCAGAGGTGGCCCTTGCAGAGAAGGATGCTGGGATGTGCTCAGGTTTTCCCTGGGGAGGGACTCGGCTCTGGAGCCATCCCAGGTCTTGGATATGTGACAATAGGCAAGTGTTTCCTGGCAACTGGAGCTGGATTTTTGCTGGATTTGTGGAAATGCCTATGCTGTTTCTTGAGGTGGTGGTAGTGTGAGCAGTTACTGTCTGGGCACAGCTTTTAAAGCTTAGGAACCTGTCAACGTAATTGGGGTTGGATCGTAGGCAGTTGAGGGTGTTTTGATCAGCCTACACTGCTGTAGTAGTTGCCTGATCTCTTGGTAGTAGTGGGTGCCTCGGGATTCAAGGGTGCTTTCCTAAGTAGGACAGAAATAAAAATGCACGCTCTATAAAGTGAAAAAAAAAAAAAAGGCATTTTGCTGATTGCAGATGATTATAATGCAGCTGCTCGACAGTGACATCCCAGCCATGGAAAAATAACATTGGTTCTTTGAGCTATTTTCCAGTCCGTGCAGCGTATTAAAATCCTTCATGCACAGCTGGCACATTTAACTTTGATTATGTTGTTGAAGTGACTGATCTGAGAGCAGCCTGGATCCCAGTTGCTTGCAGAATTTGAAAATAAGGTTGTTCCAATTCATCTGCAGTTGGTTATTTTGGAAGAGAGACAAACTATCTTGAGTACTTTTAGGGCTGCTAATTAAAGTCTTGTGGCACTCCCCTGAGAGAGTCTTTAAAGATGGATGAAGGGACTTACACAAGGTCATATAGTGTGTCACTAGCAAAGATGATTATAAAATCCATGCCCTAATTTGGTCTTGTACATGGAATTATTTCCCTGGTGTTGAAAATCCCACCACAAAACAACTCGCTGGCTGCTGGGCTCTGGCGCGTGTCGGTGGGCTCCTCCCTGCGCTCTCCGACCTGGCAGCCTGGGTCTGGCAGGGGGGGAGCGTGGGGTGGGGATGGGCACGGCTCCCCACGGCCGGCTTCCACGCGGAGGTGGCTGAAGCGGGTGCCTTCTGCTGGAAGTGCGCTTCTGGGGCTGGAAAAAAGCAGGAGCTCAGAAGGAGGGAGGTGGGAACACTGTAGAGAAGTTGCCCAAACCTGTAGGCGCTCGTGGTGTTCTGCCTCTTTAAAGTCAAGTTCAAGCTTCTGACCTGAGCTGCTCCGGCGCCTTTTCTTTCTCAGCCATGTAAAAGTGTATTTTTAAATTCCTCTGCATCCCTGCACTCGGGGCTCCTCCCTCTGCCAACGAGAAGCAGGCAGAGCGTAGAAGCTGCTATCCAAAATGACCGACAGTGGAAAAGAAGGCGGTGGGGGACTGATGAGCTCTGGAAGAGGCTGGTTTACGTGCATCATGTTCTACAAATCCTCCTGCAGGAGTAGTGTTAGAAAATAGTGATACAGCTGCGTGGTGCTTGCAGCGCTGCAGCGGCAGTGGTCGGCTTGCCAGGGGGCGGGTGTGGGCAGGGCATGCCAGGGCTCGGCGTGCTGGTGGGGGATGCGGGGAAGGATGCTCACCGAGCTGCTGCTGCAGCTATCCCTGCGGCTTGCAGCAGGTGAAACGGGGTGAGACCGGCTCCTGGGAACCGGCTGTGAATTTCCCTGAGGAAAGACGGTGAGTCACGGCCCGGGCTGTGGGGAGGAACTGTTCCTGGGTAATGGGTTGAGCGATGGCTGGTGAAGCGATGGCTCTCTCGAGAAGTGCACGCAACGACCCCAAGGAGGCTCTGACCTTGCGGGGCAGCTGAAAACATGTCTTCTGTCTGGGTTCCA